ATTCTCGGCGGGAGAATATTCGCGTTAAGAACGCGAGGGAAGGAAGGAAGGAAGGAAGGAAGGAAGAAGGGAGATGGAAGCAGGCAGGTTCAATAGCGGTTCTTTGGCTGGTGATAGTCGGAGCGTGGCCCGTCCCCGAAATTATTCGTAATCTTGGAAAGGAAGACAGGAGAGGAGGCACGAGGACGGGGCGGAAAGAGAGAGAGAGAGAGGAGGGGAGGGGGAAGGGGAAGTTTCGCGATGACGATCGGTGGTGGAAAGAAGATCCCGCATTGCCCAACCTCGCTTCCAGCATCACTGGCAACAACCCCTCGCAGCCTCGAACAATGGAAACAATACATTGAAATGAGAAAGTTGGTTTGCATTGTCGGACAGCAAGCGGGCGCGGTGCACGCGGAGGGGAAACCGCCTCGCGTCTGCCTATCTTCTCCAACCGCGTCCCTCTTTCTCCATTCCCTCCCCTCTCCTCCCACGTTTTCCACGCTCGTTTTTCCATTCGCGTCTCCTGCCTTTTACCCTTTGTGCCTGTGGGCTACGTACGTGTGCCCGATTCTCTCTCCCTCTCTCTCTCTCTCTCTCTTCCATACTCCCCTCTGTGTCGTGCACAGACCTGCGCTCCCTTCTTTTTTTCCTTTTCTTTTTTTCCTTTTTTCTTTTTTTTCCCCCTCCGCGAAGAGACGGGATCCCCCGCCTCGTTCCCCATCGGCCGGCTGAAAGAAAGGATTGTAAACCGGCGGATGAGCCGCGGATTCCGGAATGGGGACTGCTCCATTCGCCGTTCTCTCTTTTTCTCGTACGGGTGTCGAGGCGCCTGGGCTCGGACGGAGCACGCACGACGCGAGCATCGGCAATTAGTCTTGGAGTGGAGGGGAGGGGATACGTCTCCTCTTCCCTTTCGAGCGTATTTTAATAAGTTAATCGGGTCGCTTCCACCCCTCTCAAGGGTGATCCAGAGCGGGGAGGCATGAGGCCAGCCGCATTCTCTCGAGAAGCGAGAGAGAGAGAGAGAGAGAGAGAGAGAGAGAAGCGGCTCCTCGAGCGGATGGAATTTTTAAGATGTTTTCCTATCGACGGTGAGGTTCGAGCGAAGATACTTTTCAGACAATGGCTCCAGGGAGGCGGGGGGGGGGGAGGGGGGAGGAACAATGGCTGGGATACAATAACCGAGCGTATCGCGAATGAATACTACTCGGCCGTGTGCGGTTTTTTTTTTTTAAGTGTCCCATTCACGGCGCGACACGGTCTCCACCAACGCGTAAACTTGATCGCTCGTGATATTTTTCATCCCGACGACGCAACCCGTGAAATTATATAACGATTTCTGCGCAATCCGGTTCCCGCTGCGCGCCACAGATAAAAATGTTGCGCCCGTTTAAATCGCGACGAGTTACGGGTCTCGTAGACTCGTTTGTTCACTTTGTTTATCTCGGTGGATCAATTACGAGAAATATAATTTTCCACCCCTTCTTTTTCTTTCTTTTCTTTTTTTTTTTTTTTTCTTTTTTTGGACAAAACTTTCGAGATCGAACAAAATTTTTCGTCTTGGCGCGAAATTCAGCGGCCAATCGGAATTTTTAGAAACCGTTTCTGGCCGAACGTGTCGCGAAATTACGAAAAATTTAGCACGGCAATTTTGAAGGAACAAAAAACTGCAAATCACTGTCCGCGCGATTCGCAACGGTCGTTCATATTTCATCCCCGTCCGTCAACCTCGCGATTCATTTTTCAGCATCGGCGAGTTTAATTTCGATCCGCACGTACGTGCATTCGAGGTGGGCGGACAGTGGCAGAGGGGTGAAAAGTGGCGGGAGAGGAACTTTGATCCCATTGATGAACGCGAAACGTAGCGGTCGGAAACGAGATTGGTCGTTACGCGAGCGCGCTTAAAGAAGAAGAAGAAGAGGAGGAGGAGGAAGAAGAAAGAGAAAAAAAGCGCAGAGGGGACGCGCACTCTTGGCGAGTCTTGGCAAGGGATGTTGACGCAAAGCATTACGCGGATGGTCGATGGACGGCCGTGTCTCGTCCCTCGAACGAGGAGAAACAGAGGTGCACAGCTCGAGAGGAGCTCTTCCCCGATGACATCGAGGGTTGACTAAGGTTAGCCCACTCGACGTGTATCGCGTACGACTCGGGATGGCGAACGCACATTCACACGCGTGCCCGAGAGTGTGGCTCTCCCTTCTCTCTCCACCGTTACTCTCCCCGAAGAGGGTAGTTCTCGAGTAGCTGCTGCCAGGGCCTCGCTTCTCCTCCCGTCTATTGTTTAGTTATTCTGATGAGCCAGTACATTTCAAATACACTCGAGCGGGCCATTATATCGGGGAACGCATCGCTTCCTTTCGGCCACGTGCGCTCTTACCCCTCTCTCGCGATCGTCATCTCGATCCGGATAGGACGCGGCGTTAATTGGACCTGAACCGCGAAGGTGCGTTTCAAAGGCTATCCCATCTCTTCTCGGTTCACGTGATATCCACTTCACGTGCAAGGACCTCGTTGATTCTTCGTCGTAAACGATTCCTTTCTGAGGATGGGGAGAGGATGAAACGTTGTTGCAACAAAGAGAAATTGGACGGACCGAGAAATTGTTAACGAAGAAATCGATCGATGATTCGACGCGTTCTCTTCGTACTTTTCTCTTCTTTCGTGTAAAGTCTGCACGTACATGTGTATATATACATATATGTGTACATAGTTTTATTTTTGCTTGTCGGCCAATAATACCGTGCACGGCTCCCCGTCCCCTTTTTCTCCCCGGCTTTCTCTCAACGCTCGGCCGTTGCTCCTCTTCCTCCTCTATTTCTCTTTCTTTTGTTCTTCCATTTTATTCGAGTAAAAAGCTGAAACGGTGAATAGACACGGAGGAAAACGCTTTTTTATTCGATCAAAAGAGTGTTTTCACTTGTTAGCGCGTGATTATATCCCATTATTCGAAATTGAAAATACCACTTTGGCGAGCGAGCTCTTCCGATTTCCTTTTTTTTTTTTTTTTTCCATACAGCGCGGGGAGGGAAAATGGAATTACCGTGATACTCGATTCTCTCCATGTTAATCCGGATTATGAGTCGCGCGGCGGAGGAGGAGGCGGAGCCCGAGAATGACAACGAAAAAAAGCAGGCGAATATGGAAATTTCTCGTAAACTTTGCAATTTCCACTTGCCGCCGTTCGACTCGACCGATTTCTTTTCTCTCTATCATCCCTCTTCGTAAACGGTGATGATTTTGTTCGGGGTGCGGAAGGAAGCGATAGCGTTTCGAAGCGTATATATAGGCAACAACGTATATCGAAAGAGGGAGGATTCGATCGACGGGTTCGTCTGACGTTATATAGAAAATTAAGTTTTTCCTTTATAATGCGAGGCGAACTTTTCTCGAGAAAGAGTATAGAGTTACGCCGGTGATGGGAGCGAGATTTGCTCTTTTTTTTCTTTCGAGGAAAAATTGTTGCGGTGATTCGAGCGGGATGTAGGTCATAAGGTATTACCGTCTGCGCGGAACCGAGAAGCTTTTAGAAAGAACGAGCTCCGGAGGTTGAAGAAATCGCGGAAAAGAATATCGGACTTTTTTTCTTCCCCCTCGAATAATAATACAACTCTCGCGGTTTATTTTTTATTTCTCATTTTTCTTGGAAAGAATAAACGATCAAGTTTCGAGAAGATCGTTGGGACGGTCCGAATCGTTTGGTTTCGAGCGCATCTTGGAAACAATCCAACCGGCAGAAATACTTGATATTACTCGAAAAGTCTTTCCTTTCCGCGAGGATAAAGATTGTCGCGACCGAGCGAAGAAGCTTCCTTTTGAACCTCCCTCAGTCAAGAGGAAGTTAATTAACGCTGACTTCTCGCGGGGAAGAAAAATGTTGCTTGTTCTTTCTCCGCGTTGGATTCCATTATCTCTCGCGAAATCTTATCTTTTACTCGAAACTAGCACTGAAAGAAAGAGAAGGAAAACGCACTGGACAACTGTTTCAAGTTTTTCGATTAATCTCAATCTCCACGCGGAGATGTTCCGTAATAATAATAATAATAATAATAATAATGGAGATGGGTTTTTCCTAGGAGAGGAGGCGGCGAAAGCGTGGACATTATTAACTAAAACGTAACGGCGGATAGGGGCGAGGTAGGCGTGCCCTGTTCGTTCCTCCGGGTATTGGGCGCAGTTCGTTGGGCCGGCTTCCAGATGGGCAATGTTGGACGGAATGCGGAATACATCGAGGCGGGCCGGCATTCCTACTTAAATCAACATAACTCGGGTGATGAATGGTTAACAGGGTTCGCGGGGGACGCAATGCGCTCCATTTATGGCGAGCTATTACGGCCGAATTTCAGCGTTAAATGTGTGATTTATGGCCACCCGTATTATCTTCGCTCGTGTCCCGTCCACGATACACTGCGCCCCATCCGCGTCCCGCGCTACTACATTTCGGAAAATTACTTTGAACCCAGGCGAAAAAAAATTCATCAACCGGTGGTGTACACGTACGTACGGCCGTGATTAATGTCCTTCTAACCGTCGATTCGAAAATCGGTAAGGAAAATTTATTCTCATCTAGTACCCATTGCCCGATTACCAATAATATTTATAATATTGAGTTAATGTTGATAACCATCGATGGATTAGTACGGATTTCTTCGTTTACCGTATTTCGGATTTTTCTTCGATAAAGCAGAGAGAAGCAGCGACTCGTCTAAAAATATCGACAACTATTATATTCCGAGAATACTTCATCCTCCACGTTTCCACGGTTCTCTTTAGAAATATTAGTTGGGGAATTGTATAAGAGAGGGAAACAGTTGGGGATCTAATTACCAACCGCGTACGATATTACGCTAATATTCTTGTTCCGCAAGATGAGGTGAAAGCGCGAACGGACGTGGAGAGCGTTACGTGTGGAAGGGGAAAAAAAGAAGAATTCGTAGCGTGGTCCATTCCATTGCGAAAGGAAGGAAACGAGGGGAGGAGGAGAAGCAGGGAGAATACAACGCGTTACTGGTTTGTTACAGGTTGCGACGCCTCGTACGAGATGCAGGGGCCAAGCTTCGTGTCGGAGCCACCGTCGCGGGTGGAATTCACGAACGTGAACGGGGGCCGAGTGGACTGCATAGTGAGAGGAAATCCGGCACCTACCGTCGACTGGCTGGCGGCGGACGGTGGCAGTATAACGAGTATCCCTGGAATCAGACACGTCCTTGGCAACGGGACCATCCACTTTCCCGGCTTCGAGGCCGAGGTCTTCCGACAGGACGTCCACTGGGCTATTTATAAGTGCTCCGCCGTGAACAGCGTCGGTGCCATCGTTAGCAGAGACGTCACTGTCAGAGCAGGCACGCGAAACTTCTCGCTCGTTATCCGCATTACGCCACCCGCCTTTCTCCTCCTCCTCCTCCTCCTCCTGCAAGCAACCCGTTTCCACCCTTCCTTCCCTCGATCCTGTTCGACCCTGACCCCCCTCCCCCCCGCCTTCCTTCTTTCTTTCGTTTTTTTCACTCGAAAAAAAAGGGAAGAGATCGAGATTCCAGGGAAAAATTTCGCCTCGTCTTTTCATCGATTCGCGAAGATATTTCGATTTCGCGGTTTCTTCTCGGCGATGTACCTCGGCGGAGACTACCTCGTTTGGGGAGTATTAAAGTTTGATGGCCGTTGAAGGGTGAGAAAATATATATTCGTCACGCGATTCAACGGCGAGATCCTCGAGGACGACGACGTTTTACATTAAACATCCCCTCGAGCACATCGCGTCCGCGGCCGCGTGAAACGAACGCGGCAGTTCCGTTTCCTTACACGGAATAATTCATCCTCTCGATCGGAAGATGGTACGTCTTCGACGCTATGAAATATTTATTCCCATCGGCCCCGTGATTTGCTTCGTACCCGACGCTTTGATGCACCACCCTCCTCCATAACCGGAGGAGACGTGGAGAATATGGACTCATCGCGTTGATGGTTTGTCCGTCGAGAATCGTGACACGTTGTTGAAACGAACGTTGAACGAACACGTTTTCCTTCATCGAGTTCTTCCTTCTTCTCTTTTTCTTTTTTCGCCTAATGGCGCCCCGCTCGGAAATCCCTCCCTCGATCGAGATGAAATTGGTTCCAACTTTTCCCTAAAAAAAAAAAAAAAAAAAAAATAAATCCGTCTTATCGAAGCCTCGCCCTCGACGGTCGTATCGCCATTAGAACCACGGTTGCACTGGTTTTCCAAAAAATATATTCACGGTTGTTTCCTCTGGTTGTTTTATGGGACGAGCCCGGAATCCAGCGAGACAAGATCCATGGTTGGGCAGGGATCCGCACCATGGAGGGAGGGGGGGAAAGAGGTGTGTCTCCGCGTCTTAAAAATAGAAGTTGGTCCGGATCAACGAACCGGAAGATATCTTATCGACCTAATATGCCCGTAAATCATCGTCGCGTGAACGTAGCCCATACCTTTTCTTCGGATTCATGCCCGCTACCCCTGCCACGTCAGCTTCTGTCACAGCAGGGCCTCCCTGTCCTTTGTTCCTTCCAGCCTCCACACCTCCTTTCGAGCCGATCAACTTCGCTGACTCCGTTCCTTCCCCGCCCCACCAAGAAAAGTCTTTCCGAGCGCGGATTGATAAGCGCACTCCTCGAAGCAAAACGGATATGATTAGGCGGCCGCCATACCGTTGGCGGCTGGCTTACGTATGCATTCGCAACCCGCTGACTCTGCTCGAATCGCGAATCGAATAACAACAATGGAGATCTCGTTTTCCCCTTTCTCGTCAAGCTTCTTCGTCTAACCGCTGCCCAATCTCCAACTCTCCTCGCACGATTCGCTTGATCATTTTACGAATAAACCTTTCCAAATAACGAGGCCAACAGATCGATACAAAGAGAGGAGTGGCGTGAAAAGAAAATTGGATCGAAGAGCGCGTGTTCGTTAAATTGTTTAAAATATTTTTAAAGAGGAGGATGGTTGATCGATCCTTCCTTTTTTCTTAACCGTTCCGCTTTCGGATCGATCGATAAAGTATACAACCAGTCCCTGCGCGGGCTAAACTTCCCTCGAGGAATAAATTCGTAGCCGACAAGTAGTCCGTTTAAACCGTGTTGCGCAACGACCGTCATCCCGCGGATTTAAAGCGGGCAAGATATCCATAGTCCTTTGTGCGCCGCGTATCCCTCCTCGTATTTTTCGTTTCCTTCGACTGTTTAAAGTTGAACCATCCTCGTGTGGCGGGCGCCAAAGAACTTTAATCAAAGTTAATTCTCCGCGAAGGAGGAGAGACGGATTACGTTTCGTTAAGAAACACACTCTGGTAATAAATAAAAATTACATTGTACCGTTTCGAACAGCTCTGGCCTCAACAGCCTCGATTTCCCTCCACGGCCAGAAAAATATTTGCCTCGAAACAACGATAGTTTCCTCCGATCGGTGGGACGATGGGCCAAACGCGACCGGAGAGAAGGGAAAAACCATTCGGACCCGGATGAGTATCTGGGGGGGAGGATAAAAAGTTGGATCCTCGAAGGAGGAGAATCGAGTCTGTAGCGAGTCGACGAGACGCCGTTTAATATCGGCTTTCCACGGAACACGCCGCGAGAATACCGTCGAAGTGAAGGAAGCTTGAGGGAGGGAGGGAGAGGGGAGCTTAACGACGTTTGTTAACAAAAACAAGAGGCGAAGCGTATTGTTCGCCTTCGCCGATAGCGACGTGCCGCTTTTCAACTCGATCGTCGACGCGTCGTTCGTCTAAGACGTTTTCTTTCCACCCATCTACTCTCTGCACTCGAGTTTATTCTTCTTTCTGCAAATTTTCGAGCGTTTAATTCGAGCGCAGCGCAGAGGGAGCGTTTGAGGCTGGGCTGTAATGAGAAATCTCGACGAGGCGTTAACGCAAATACCGTACGCGGTTTTATTGTTTATCGCCTCGCTTCTCAAACGCCACGCCTTGATTAAGATACGCTACGTTCGTCGACAAAGATATATCATCGATCGACTCGTGAATTCCTGCTGAATTCTTTCGCGCGTGCTCGTTTCGAGCGAAGAAAGGATTCGATGTAATTAAGCGGCAAAGTTGTTGGCTCGTCGTAACGCGATCCCTTGCCAACTGAAACACGATATCTCTTGGACGAAATTGAAAAGCTCGAGTGTAATGCGCGCTCTCGCCGATCTGAATACGCGGAGGCTCACTTTTTTATGATATTCTTGATATTCACCGACACGCGAAAAACGTTGGCGGAATTTCCCCTTTTCCCGCGCGACATAAGATACACTACGTGGCATATTCGACGTGCTCGTAACAAGTCGCTTAAAGTGATCTTATTATCGTAACCGCGCTACGTGTGCGCTCGAAACTCGAACACGCGTTGGAAGATGAAATTCCACGGTATAAATTCGGGCCTGGAAGCGCACGGTCGTTCGCTTCTTTCCTTTTTCTTTCTTTCTTTCTTTCTTTCTTTTTTTTCTCCTCCCCCCCTCCCCTCCCCCCGTTACTTTTCTCGTTGCGCCAAATCTTACGAGAAAGGGACGTGTATATTTTTTAATTCAACGCGATTAAACGCGAAAAATTTCTTTCCAGTTTCGCGAGGCTTGTTCTTTTATTCCGTGAAGCGAGAAAGAAATTCGCGGAAATTTTATACGGAAATAATTAAACTCGCCCCGGGGTCGAGTTACATCGTAGATCTAATTCGACGCGGGCTCGCTTTGGCTAAACGAGCGTTGAACTTCGTCACAGAGAGCGCACACGTTCTCCCCCTTTCATCTTTCGTTTCCGCTCTCCGACAAATACCCTTCGTTCATTAATTTCCACGCTGTTCCCAACGCTATTCGATTCCACTACCTATTCTTCCTATATCCTCCTGCATGGTTTATCGTTCGTGTCAAACGCGTGTTGAACATTTTATTTGTCGAGCTTACGTGTATTACGGATATTATAATTATATTGTAAGATTTCTTCTCTACTTTTTTCAATAACTTTTCTAACTCCGCATCCGTTACCGATCGCACAGATACAATCGGGCAACGATCGATCCCTCGTCCTGCTCGCCTGGCCAGGCCGAGTCGAGGACGAGCGAACGACGGCAAGGAGAGGACGCGTGATCGCGACGCGGTTTGGCCGTGGAAAAAGGTGTAGACTTTCGTCTCGGCGTAAAATTCGAGGCGGGCAGAAAGGAGGGCGGTTTTCGTGGCCGAGGCGAGGCCCGCTCTTTCTGTCAGGTGCAGGGTTAGGTAGGCTGGGTAGGCTGCATAGCCGGTCGTTTCTCTCTTCCCGTAGGTTTCATGGTTTGTAAATATTACCTGCCACGATACGTCTGCCGAGTTTATGCTTGGCTTGGTTGCCGCGTAACCGAGAGCCGTGTGATACGGGGAGGGGGGAGGAGAGAGAGGGATGTATGGCAAGGCTGGAAACCCGCGCTGGAGGCAGAGAAAGAGGGTGGAAGGCAGAGGCGAACTCACCGAGTTTTTACCCCATTCTGGAGTCTGAGTGCCTCGCTCCGCTGACTCTCGAAACGGGTTGCACAGCCGGGTCCTACACACACCACCACAGCATTTTCCTTTCCACCCCTGCCTCTTTCGCCACCACCACCACCACCACCACCACCACCACCGCCTCCTCCTTTTCCACCGACTATAACCCCCTCCCCTCCCTTCTAACCCGTCTTTTTCTCCGGCATCGGTTTCTCGTTCTGCGTCCTTGCTTCACCCTCTTTCAACCCTCTGCTCTCTTGCCAACCTTTCAGCCGGGACCATCGACTTACGCGGAACGTTAGTTCATGGCCGGATTGGGACAGCTTCGAGATTTCGCGTCGAGATACCACCGCGATCCTTTCCTCCGAACTTCCTTCCTTCACCTCGAAACCTCTCTATCGATTTGCAAATTTTTCTTGCCTCGATGTTGCCTACCTATCAGTAATAAGGGGTGGTGGAGAGAGAGAAGAGAAGGTAGCGGGTTTGCTACTAGGGCAATCGACGAAATCGGCGAATCTTTCCATCTTCGAACACGATGATTCTACCTTGCCTCGATATGGATGTCAGTCGTGAAAGAGGAGCGTTCGTTTTTTTTCCTTCTTCTTCTCATTTCGACTCTGGTTAAATAGAAATATAATCTAACCAGGGATACAACAGGCTCTTTCCTCGCGAGCTCTTTATCTCGACGGGGACGGTACTCGCGCCATCCATTTGCTTGGTAAGGTAATTAATACAAGCCTGCGTGCAAGAACGCGGATTCGTCACATTTGTTTTGTCTCTCCTCCCTCAGCCCCTTCCTCATCTTTCAATTTTCATTCATACGTCATCTTTTCAAAAAGCTCGCGCGAACCTATTGAGAGGCGGCGAGGAGGGGGGGAGGGGACGATCCTTCCTGCTATCGAGATTTTTCTTTTTCTTTTTTTTTTTTAATTAAGAGTCGAGCTCCGCTTCATTTCGAGTCCGTCACGCTTTTTTTTTATCCGGCTTTCAACCGTGAAAGTTGATTCCGCGGCGACGCGGGTATCAACATCTTGTACTCGCACCCGCACAAAGCCTCTCCCCGGATTTAATTCCGAGGTATCGCCGCCCTCCATTTTGCCTTACACCCTCGCCGCGCCACTTAACAACCTTTTTTTTTGTTTTCTTTCTTTTCTTCCTCTCCTCCTCTCTTTCTCTCTCCTTTTTTCTTTTTTTTTTTTCGCCTTTCCACCACTCGTGTCCTTAGCAAGCTTCTAGCGCGTAGACAATTATGTCGGGCGCAGACTGGCTTCAGGAACGGATTCGTGCCACGAAGAGAATACCTCGAATCGATATTACGAGATTTTTCGTGCAAACGTTGGGACGCGTCTGTTTTTTTTGTTTTTTTTTTTTTTTTTATATTTGTTTTAACATTGTTTCGAGAGAGAGATTTCATATATTGGAAATTGGGAGAATTATTTTATCGCGTTATATTCGTTTAAACGTTTGCGTTCTTGCATCGAATTGGATTTGATATTCCATCGATTTCTTTTTTTTTCTTTTTTTCGACGCATGAAATATAATTTAATTATGCCTCGTAAATTTAATTTAGACGGAAATATGCAATTGATTATGGAAATATAAAAAAAAAAAAAAATACAATTTCAAATTATGTATCGCGATATGTATCCAATTTTAAAGTGAAAATTGTTAATTATTAGCGGTAAAAGGTAATTCGTATTGCATGGAAAATGGAACTTGAACGTATCGGAACGTATCGGAAAAATTACACGGCACGATTCCCTAGGAATCTAGGGGGGAGAAAAATGTTAGAAAGACCAATCTTCCCCACGCACAAGACCACCAGGGTGGTACACCGGTGGTTACGTTTCCCATAGGATGGGAAAATGGAATAATATATACATTGGCTGGCCGGTGTTAACGTTATGTTATCATAATTATATTAAACAAACATCACGCGGTATTCGAGCTCCCCTTCTCCCGGTTTCGAGAATTCCGAGGTTGAGAGAATTTCGCGTGTCTGTTCCCGTTCCTCTGCACCTCTGTTCGAGGTCAACATTCTTAGGCGACGTGTACAACGCAGATATATTCAGAGTTTCGTATCGATTCGCCGAGATAATTTAGTCTTTTTTTTTTTTTTGCCCGGTGTGAAACGTCGATAAAAGTGGCGAATTTGGTCACCTGTTCGTTTCTATTAAAAATGGATCGTTATTCGTTGGGGGTGAAGCGTGGTGGTGGTAGGAAAGAGGGGAGGGAAGAAAAAATATTCGCTCCGATCTCCCTGTCCTCGTCAGCCTCGGGCGGAAGACGAATTTGTCGAATTTTCCATCGAGCCCCGAGTTTCGTAATGAAATAACGAAATCGCGCGCGGCTTCCGCCGTTTAATTGATACGTCATGAATTTATGAGGGATGTATCGGGGATGGTGCGTGCCTACGTATGAAGCCCCGGTTAATGAAGCTCCGTTTAACGTTATTACGTTTACCAAAGTTCGGTTATCGACGCTCCATATTGCACGGCCCCCCTAACAATGAAACTCAACTGTTCGTTCATTAGCGTCGGAATAAAGCGATCGTTGCCGATTCATCTGATTTTCTCTTTACTTTGTTACAAAAAAAAAAAAGAAAAAAGAAAGAAAGAAAAGGAAGAAAAAATGCGCAACGAAAATCGATAAGAAATGGAAAGTTGGAGAAAAACGAAAATATTTCTTCGTCTCTCGCGTTTTTTTCCTTTTTTTTTTTTTTTCTTAGCCAACTACGCGAGGTTTTTCAGAGGTTTCTCAAGCGCGACGAATCCGCCCCTGTCGGAGCTCCACGCTTTCGAGACGCTCTTTTTTCGAGCGGCTGTGTTGTTTGCGTGTTTCAGTGGTGAATCAGCGTTACGATCCGGAAGTGCAATGTCCCGGCGGTTTCCTCGGCAACAACGTGCTTATGCGATGCAACGTGCCCAGTTTCGTTCGCGATCACGTCACCATCACGTCTTGGCTTCAGGAGCCGTCTTTCAACATCTACCCCTCCACGATGGGAGGTGAGCGAGCACACAATCTTCAACTTTTATCCTCTAACGACGCTCGCTCATAAATAAGAATGAGAAGAGGGATGAATTCTCGCGAGAGAGAGAGAGAGAGAGAGAGATATCGACCCTTTATTCCAGGATCGAATTCGACGGGGATAAAAATTGGATCACGGAGTGGAAATGGAGATGATTTTCGTGGAATGTTTGGGGAAGAAAGATCGAAAAACCGGTCTTGCGAGTATCTCCTCCTTGAGATGTAACTTGGAGAGGATTCGAAGCGGGTCAACGTCACGTATCCCTCAGATTACGGTATCTCTCGATTTCTATCCTCGTTTCGCGAGACAGACCACCCTCTTCCATTCGATTCCGACTCGGTGGAAATTCGTGGACTCGCGACTCGAAAAGAAAAGCGAAGAAAGAGAAAACGTAGGTTTTTCTCGAGGACATAATTGGCGATCGCCAAACGTGCGCGAATCGCGGCAAACTTTTCACTGCATGAAACGTTAACGAAACTTGATTAATTATCAAGAAGTTGGATAGCGGCGTGGCTCTGAATGTGTTGGCTAATAAAGCGAAGCCGGATCTGTTAATACACTCATCGATCGGGGCAAGACGATCGATAATAGGCGACCAAAGTTTCGTCGTCGGGTTCGAAGTTGAACGAACTCGCGGTTGAAATGGTGGAAAAGCGGGAATTATTATCATTATTGTTGTTATTATCGTTCCTTGGGAATTTGAACTTGAAAATCTCGGGAGTTGTATAATCGAATTAAATTTCAATTCCGAATTTATAACGGAAATGAAAGTTGAAGCTAATTCCCAGCTACTCCGTAACTGTCGGACGAAATATACCCGGCGTGATTTCTCTCCCCTCCGCAGATGGGAAATACCACATGCTCTCGAGCGGGGAGCTGATGATATTGAACATCACGCGGGAGGACGCGGAAAGGACTTATCGGTGCAGGACGCATCACCGTTTGACGCAGGAAACGGTGGTCAGCAGCAACGTCGGCAGACTTCAATTGACCGGTGAGTACGCGTTAAAATTTCGCGGCCTATAAGATAACGATCGCGATCGAAAATTCATCCAACCGATCGATGCGGATGCGAATTAATGTCATTGTCGTGTTTTACATTCATCCAGATTTTATTCGAGACGATATTTCGAGATCAACGTTCTTGAGAGAACGTTTTAAAGATATACTCTCTCTCGTTTTACGCAATAATAATAATTGTGGAGTAAACGGCTCAAGATGCAGATGCTCGGTTTATTAACAAACGGGATCATGGGGGATGTAACGCGAGTTGAATATTTTTCCTCCTTCCCTTACGAAGCGAAGCTCGGCAAACAGTGGAGAAAGGGAGGAGAGAAGAAGGAAAACGATATTTCCTGTCCGTTAACACACTTTCTTCCCTCTTCTCTTTCTCTCTCCTCGAAAGCTTGCGCGCCTTCCCTCCAAGCTTCGTCAGTTAACCTGACTAATAAAGTTTTAACGTGGGGCGAAGAGCATAAGGAGGAGGAGGAGGAGATTTTTAGCGCGAGGAGGATACTATTAATAAGACTATCGAAAGAGGAGGAGGAGGAGGAGGAGGAGGAGGCATCGTTCTTGGAAGGATCCCATCGGCGCTGGGGAAAAGAACTTTCGCCTTTTATCGCCTCGAGAGAATGGCGAGAGGATACTCGTGAACGGAAACTTATTATTGCAGCCGGATGCGATATTTACAAATTTCTCGCGAGGACCGTTGAATATTTATGAGCCGGTTACCCTCGGCCGGGAGAGCGTCAGATGCTTTTGGATCTCTTTCCCCTCTCCTCCTTTCCCTCCGGATCGTTTATCGAGGCCACGGAGATCCAGGCCGCCGAGCTCCTCCAAACGCCCGAATCTGTAATTGGACAAACGGTTAGACCGCGGCTGTTTCTCACCCGATGCTTCCTTCCACTCTTCTTCTTCTTTCCCTCCTTAACGTGGGAAGGCACGGGTGGTTATTAAATTTTTTTTCAATAACAAAGTGGGGCAAGGCGGGCAGAAGAGAAACGGGACGCTAACCGTTGCGGGACATTCTCTCGACCTTTTTTTTCTTCTTTTTTTTTTTTTTTCCTTCGTACTGAACTGAGCGCCATCGGTGGACTCTGGAGTTTCGCCCGATTTCGATTAAACGTTGGCGCTTCGTACGCGATTATTATTATCGTTGGGGAAACGTGGTTGGAAAAGAGGGAAGAGGCTGGCAGAGAAATAATCGAGGGAATTTTTCGGGTTCCCCACTCTCTTTTCCGTTTCATTCTTCTTTTCTTTATCGCTTGAATATTCAAACGTCTCGTGGATAAATCTGTAAGGGGATAAACAGGTGGGATTTTGTATTATTCTCGGATTTCAAGGTTCGAGATTCCCTCGCGTCAAAATGCGAACCCCGTGTCTTTGTTGTGCAAAGATCGGCGCGATAAACTCGTCTCTTTCGTCGTCTTCCGATTCGATCTCGCGATCGATCGTGGAAGCGCGGGAAAAAGAAGTTGAACGCCGAGTTGAGGTCGTACGGATCCGATTAAACGCCTTATTTCGCGTCAATCACCGCCGATAACGCTATGGGATCAAAGATTGTTCCTTTAAACGGAATGAAAAAAAGTGGAAGGATTATTCGATTGCAATATGAACGAACAATCAATACATACAATAATTAAAACGATCTATTCGATCGCGCGTTACTACACGATTAGTCGAATCACTCCGTGTAAAAAAAAAAAAAAAGAAGCACAAAAAGGGAGAAAAAGAGGGAAAATGTCTGCGGATTCGATCGAAAAATCCGTAAATCTCCGCGACACGCGATATCCCAGTCCCTCGATTTCGCGTCGAAGGGTTTAACGAGGCATCGGATGATCGAGGCCCGATCAAAGCAAAAATTCTCTCAGGCCGGGCGTAATTGGCAGGAGGAGGGGTCTGTGGCGAGGCCCCGCGATCGAGAGCAGAGTCTGAAAAGGTTTCCTCGAGTCTCTGGCATCGCTTGTTACCGAGGCGAGTTGTAACGCGTGCTTTGGTTCCGCGCCCGGCCACTGCGGAGGAAAGGGAGGAGTATAGGGGCGGAAAGGAGGCGAAAGCGGAGAGAAGGAGGAGAAGAAGAAGCGGAAAGGGGGAGAAATCTCCACTCGAGCCGGGCTAACTAATGATGCTTCTCTTCGCATGCCTCGCCTAACCCTTCAACAGATTCGTGTTGAAGCTTCAGACGTGCCTGTACACGATGCGTGAGAAGAAGAAGAAGAAGAAGAAGAAACGGGCAAGACATTCTTCGTTACCGCTTTTCCCCTGGCACGTACCAAGCGTCATAATTCATTTCCTATACGCATTATTCGCATTTTTCCTCCATTCCTTCCTTTACTTCCTTCCTTTTCTCTTTTTTTCTCTCTTCCATCGTTTCTCGATCGTTGACTTCCTGTATATATATATATGGATCTGTCGTTCAGTCGATAAGTCCGCGCAGGTATGACGGGGAATAATTAATACACCGGCGGCTTAATCGTGAGCCATGGATACGCCGCGTAATCGAAGGTAACGAAAGTGCGCTGAAAATTGGGATAAGCGAGTTACGTTTTATTATTTTTTCCAATCGATTCCGTACCGAAATTTTTATTTATGTTTAATCATCAAAATTATTGCTCGTGCACCGACGGATGGACAACAAAACCTCGGTGAAAATGTGTTAAATTCTAGGAAAAATGTGTCGATGCGATGCAAGATTGAACGCGATTCGCGATTTGTGGAATATATTCGCGTAAACTTGATTCTGTGCTGTGGATTCTATCGTGGATGTTTAACCGAAACATGGTTCGGATACCCGTAGGTGTTCTCAACTACAGTAACAATCTCTACGTATCTCTCAATAGCGGTACGTGAGAGAGAACATCGGATCGGGTATAAAAGAAACCCAAAGGTTCCAAATGTTCAGAGAAAGACAGAGAGAGAGAGAGAGAAGGCGAATGGTATTTAACGGTTACACGTTGATAGAGGAAAATTCGGAACAGAGCGTGGTGAATCGATGGCCGGCGGGTTTATTTGCGAATCGTGCATCTCTGCGGAGATTCCGCTTTAATGGAAGCGAGAGAGGGGTCGTAGGCGATCGTTTATCGCGATCGACGAACGTCCCCACGAGATATATCCCGAAACTGGGTGATGTTTACCTGGCGGGATCCCGGCCTGGATGGAAACTGGCCGAACAGGATGGAAAATTCCCGCGTAACAATTGTTTAGAATTTCTAAATAAACACCGCACCGCGTTCTACTGTGCAGAACGCTGTGCAAGCGATGATTACCTCTAACCGGATTGCAAATTATTATTAGTCCGGTGCAGCGCACACAGGTCTCGGAAACGATACGCAGAAGCGCGTAATTGTTGCCTTTGCGTTGTTCAAGATTTGTTTACAACAATCGGTTCCTCGTTTAACCCGCCCTCCCCTCCACGCTCACTCGTTGTATTTCTGCGCGAAACGGTTTAATTTACGAAAAATGATAATAATAATAATAATAACGAAACGATTCGACCGGAATAATTTATAGTTTGCTCGTTCCATTCTTTTTTTTTGTACAACGAGAATCGGGAACGAAGAACAGAATTTGGATTATCGGGGAGAGGCATGGAGGAGGGAGATGTATAACAGGGAAGAGATAATAAAAGCGAACGAGTGGAAAGAGATTTTATCGTCGTTTTAGTTGCTCCATCCAGTGTTTCCGGTTCGCGGTAATCATTGTGCGTAGGTAAACGAGCGAAATTCGCCAAGTTCAAAATTATTCGAGACGTAACTCACGCGAAACTTTATTACAGACTGTAATTTTTCTAAGGCGGACTGCCGTTGTGATCGTCGAAGCGTTCCTCGCTTCTGGCGGGAGCGCGATAATTCCTCGAACGTTTTCACTTCTTTTCTCTCTCTTTCTCTCTCTCTCTCTTTCTCGACTCGTTATATTTGTCGTATCATACTCCTCGAAATCTCTCGCGAACGAATCGAGAGAACGAGAATTTTTCAACGAAAAGCGAACTACTCGATTGAATTTTTTCCGTGACAGAGAATCGGAAGGAGAAGCTTTTGAAGCTTGGCGGGAAAAAAACGAGCAGCTGCTCTATTCTTTACACGTATTCCATCCACGTATAATACAACAAGTTGACCGGGTTTGGCGGTTGGATAGAATTTATGCTAAGCGCGCTTACGTACTTGCCAACTTAATAACGAAGTTGCAGAGTGTGCCCGATCGTTTGCATATTCCCGGACAATCGTCCATCGTCGGGGATCCCCCTCTTCGTTTCGAACACGATGGTAAATTAACATCGAAAACTCCAGAGATACACCATTTTTCCGGGATAACGAGCAAACTTTTCACAATTATCCTTCGCCATAGCTGGAAATTTTCGTCCGAACGGTCACGCGTGTCTAGCGAAATAATCCCATTGAAATCGTGTAGGCTGCTGTGCTATCTCTGATCGATTTTCATAAAAAAAAAAAAATCTCGCACGGACAGGCACGCATTTTACGCGCTTTTAATCGCGTCGTCGCGCGGATAAGAATCTACCCCTTTTAATTTCGGGAGTTGCAAGTTTTCGCGCCAATATCTTGTTTCCATCGGGTGGATATCGCGACGTGACACGATTGCGGGTAATGCAACAACAAACGGTTAATTCGTGGCGCTCGATCGCCACGAAAAACGTTGGGAAACAGTTATCACGCGTGGATCGATGCCGCGTGTCACTCGGTTGTAAAAGCTGCGAAACATGCGGACAGATCGGGTGGTAGTTCGGTTGGATTTCGAGGGAAATAGCGAGCGGAGGAGGAGGGTTAATGGCGCGATCTCGATCCGCGAAAAACGTTCCGCTTTAATTACGCGGGCCCCTCGTTTTCATTGCAAATACACTATCTCCGTTTTGTTGTAATATTCATTGCCGCATTATTACGATGTCGTTTCGCCCGACTTCCCCGCTAACGCTCTCGGTTCCTCTTTACCGGTCGCGTTCCAACCGACGCTAATTACGGGAATATCTGTTGATGAAATCTTAACGGTGCGAACGGGTTAATTGGCATAATTTCATCGACACGTCGCCTCGATAAATAAATATCGAGAAGCGAAATTGTCGGCGTGCAGCGACGAGATATGTACACCGGTTATCTGTCCCTTTACGGTACGCCACGTCCGCTATCTCCGACCATAATTCCCCATTAAATGCGTTGCCTTGACGCGTTCCTTCCCCCCTCTTTTTCTCCTTCCTTCCCTTCGTCCTCTCATTTTTCTTCCCCTCCCCTTCTATATGCCTCGCCGCGAAGAACCTTTGTTCCCCCGTTCCTTTTTCAGCCGACGGCTATTTATATATGATACGCCGCGGAAAACATTTCCCGTATATCATGGAACAAACTTACATGAACTCGTCCTGAGGGAGGAGGAGGAGGAGGAGGAGGGCCTTTCTTCGGTCTTGCCGCAAACTAACCCACCGTGTTTCATCGTGTGTTACGTACGTGTGCAAGGGAGAAGATCCGGCCGGGCGATCTCGCGCAGGATGTATTTCCACCGTCGTTTCCTTCCCTCTCTTTTGTTAAATCTTCACCGATATTGTCGCTATCAATTTTCCAAACAATGTAATCCAATACTTCCTCCCCGCTTTTTCCACCTTATTTTCCACGTATCGTATTTTCCACGCTTCTCGAGACGAACGCGTCCCGCGAGAGGAAGAGAGAGAGAGAGGAACGACACGTAACGATCGTCGTTAAAGAGAATTTCATTTCGTAATATACAGCGGTTGGCTTTTAATCCCCCAGCCCCTCCTCTCCCTTCTTCGTTTTATTAAACTCGACCTCCTTGGTCTTTCCGTTCGCAGCATCAGCACCATCCTCCTTCACCTCGTTTCTCCCCCTGCAGGAATATATTTCCCGTCGCGGGGAAAAACTTGGTCCAACTTGGTCCCTCGTCGGCGAGGGATGTAGGGCCGAGTCGAAGGAATAAGCTTTGTTCCAGGGGGAGAATATCGCCAGAAATTATCACCTCCCTTTATATCGTCCCGAGAAATTTCACGAGAATTTTGTTGGAAATTTTATCTTTTCCAGCGGCGGCGGCGGCTCGTCCACGGAAGAGATACACATATATGTATACGTTTCTCGATCGTTTCACGCGTAGTTTCCACCCCCCCTTCCCTCCCCCCCTCGCTATCATTACAGGATTTATCCTTTCTGGGTTTTTCTGGTTGCAGAGATACGCAGCACCATGCCGCCGATGATAAACGAGAAGGTGGTTTATACGTCTGCGCGGCTGAAAGACACCGTCGTGATACCGTGCGTCGCTTACGGGAATCCAACCCCCGCAAACAGGTAAGAACCAACGTCACCAACGGGATACGCGTTGTACGTGTGTGCACGAATTTGTAGCTTTTCGCATCGGCCCTCGTAAACTTCCCCCTGCCTACCCTACTATCGGCGTTCCCACGAAACTTCTGGAAAAAAGGGAAGTGACGACGCGACGAGTGCTGATCCTCGGGATTTCGCGAGAACGCGTGACGCGCATCGATCCCGCAACGTTTACGACCCGGTTTCGAATCTGTCGTCGTTCCAGGGGGAGGCGGTTCGGTTCGCTTTCTCCTAGCATCTTGTTTCACTTATCTTGATTACAGGATAGAGAGCCGCTTTTATCGAGACGAGTTATTGATCCCTTTCGTTGAACAAAGTCTCGTTTAATTCCAAGAACTTAACTTTTTCTTCCATTCTTTCCTTCCTTCTTTCTTTCTTTCTCGAAGTTGAAAGTGTGTCGTTCGGGAAAAAGGAAAAGAAAAGAAAGGGAAGACGTTTGGTTTAGAAACGATTAGATGCGATGATGATTAGAATCGGACGATTCGTATCGAATAGCAAGCGTCGAAGCTTTGACCGAGTTGAATGCACCACCCTATTCGACGAGGGTTCAACAAAAGGATTCCGGTGTGTTCCGTAATTGCCGACTTTCGCGGAGGAACTCGAGTACGATTCACTTACGTGGCAAACAGTTTCCCGATACAACGAGGTTGGGGGAAGTTTAATTGGCTCGGCGGCTGGAGAGGAGAGGAGGCTTTCCCCTCCGTTGAAAAATATTTCGCTCCAAGTTGGTCGTCCACTCGCCTCCTTTGGAGAGGGTAAGCTTCCTAGCGAGAAAGGTTTAAAATATCGCGACACACCCCATCTCGCTCCTCTCCTCTCAAATTGCTTTCTCTCTTCCGTTTCCTCCCTCGAGTAAACGGATGTTCCGCCGCGCAATTAACCGGTAAACGACCATTTACTTTTCGCCGTGGTCGAGGCTTGCGTTACGCTTGCCTCGCGGAGCGCGACACGCAGACGGCTAAATTGAAGATAGCTGTTTGGATTAACACGACGTCTCCGGTCGCGGATTTCGCTTTGCCGACCACCACTTCCGCATTTAAAATTCCTTTAAAAATCGTTGATGATTCAATTCTCTTCCGCCGTATTGAAAAGTAAAAATTTCAATTTCCACGTATTATGAGAGATCCGTCTCTTCGTTTTCGAATACGAGGCTGAAGGAACGCTTATTTCGAGAGGAGTCTCGCGATGGAAAGGGTTCTTCCGTTGAGAAGAAAAGCCGCGTTTGTTTCGTCGCGTGGTGGTGATGGTGATTGGGTTTCAGGATTTTCACGATTTCGTTTGAAAAGGGTTGTAGCGAGGTCGTAGCGAATGATAATAATAAACGACGTCGAAGGAAACGAGGCGCGGAATCTACGTGTTTCTCTTGCATTAATGCTAATTTCGAACATGACCGTGTGTTATTTCGACCGCGAAAAGCGAGACGCGCGTTAAAAGAATAGCTTCCCCCCCCCCCCCAAAAGAGATGAAAGGAAATCCGCGAGAAAGAAGAAAGAAAGAAAGTTTGATGGTTTTTGAAGGAGTTGGAATTAGAGAGGCATGGATTGGTCTTTCGCGGTGATGTAACGGGTTTAAATTAAATTGAAAAGAAACAGGCGTGAAACCGGATGAAAATGGTTCGTTTATTCTCGTTACTCGGCCGATATCGATGAAGATTCGCTTCTTCCTTGCACGATTCCTCGCGAGTTATGAACTCTGAAAATTCGGACTCCTCTCTTTCTCTCTCCTCATCGCGACGAATCCAATAAACTCGAGCGTGTACAAGAAACGAAACCACGGGTACATACAACAGGGAATCGTGGAATCGGGGACAAAGGGAAAGCGGGGAATAAAGGAAAGCCTAGATGAATTTTCTTTTCGTTGATCGTTTCGTTTCCCATGCGGATTCGAGTGCTCGCGAAGATGGAAAAGGATAGAAATAAGGGATGGAAAGGGGTGCAATGGCAAAGGGATCGCGTATTAATGTATTTATTATTCGAGCTCGAAACGAAAGGAGGAAACGACCTCTTCAGCGGTTTCATGCACATGCGCTCCTCTTCGATCTCGACAGGATTATTAAAACGTGTCTTTTTTCTTCCCTTCATACCGGCGCAGACGTGTAATCGAGATTTCTCGTATCCTACCGTTCCAAGATTATATTATCTCGAATCGTGACGTGGGCAAAATTTACAGGTCTCGACCTTCGCAGGATCGTTACAATAGCGATACACACGCGCATTGTGTCGGGGTATGCAAATTCGCGGAAGGTACAAACAACGAGATATCGGTTTATTACCAGTTTCCTCCCTCCCAGATGTTTGACATCGGAGTAATCAATCCCCCATTGACCGATATTAGGATCGATAGCCGCGAGAAACGAGACGAGTATATCGCCGCCTTCCAAGGAATTTCTCCATCCGTGGATAATAATCGATTAGCGGGAGAAAGCGGGGAGATAGAGAAAGAGGGAGACAGGAGTGATACGCATGACCGTGTGTGGATGTCGGGGATGCGGCAAGGTGAGGCCGTTCCAAGGTACATAGACGCGAGGCGCTTAGTGTGGGTAGCGCAAACAAACCGACCGCTGATTACAGAGACTGCTTCTGACAGCCCATCAAATATTCCGCATTTACGTCGACGTCACCGAGTATTCCGTGCTTGTGTTCACCGTCTCCTTCTCTCGCCTCTGGATCTTCGTCCTCTGTCCCGCCGCCTCTTCCGTTCGCTTGACTGAGTTGACGGAGGAGAGGCTGCAGCCATAGGGGGATAAGAGAGAGAGAGAGAGAGGAGGGAGGGAGGGGATGGCGGCAAAGGATAAGCAAAAGGATCGGAGGGAGACGGATAAACGAGGAGAGGGAGCGCGGTCGATCCCTACCTCTGCTCACCTATCTTTCCTTCCCTCCGCCAATTTCCCTCCGTAAATTCGATTATCTATAGGTATACTCCTCGACCGTGTCTCCTCCTCCGCCTCGAGTCTGCCAGAGTCCGACGACTCTTCGACAACCTCATCGGCGTCCTTCCGCGAGCCCACCGTGCCGCCTCCACCGTATACACACGCGTGCAGGTCAATCACCGGCCGAAGAAGCAGTAGGTAGTAGAGGGAGGAAGATCGTTTTTGGACCGAGCAGTAGGAGGAGTAGTACTACACGTTCCCCAGGGATGCTACCTTAACACCGAGATTGGATAGGCTGGAAAATATTCGAGATCCCGGCCTAAAGACGTCGCGGATTCTCCAACTTTTTTTTCCCCCCCACGTTTTTCGGACGATGCTCGAATGATTTTGCGAGGCTAGAGATAAGGGGTGGTGCAAAAGTAAGTTTCCAAGAATAATATTTATCGGAGGGGGGCAACGCAAAGGGAAATGGTCGAATCGCGGCCGCTTAAGGGAACAAAATCAATAGAGGCCGCGACGAAAACTTTATTTTCCAAGCTCGGCTCGGTAAATATTGACGCGGCCGTTCGCGCGCGTTTCAACGCAACGCAAATGTTTCCCTTCGTTTTGCACATCGCTGCGAGCAATCGTCTGAAATGTCGCCACGGGGAGGGAGGGGCGTATTAATAACGCGGTGGTTAATTTTAGGACAGGTTTAAAAACGGGATAGTTCTCCGAGATCGAAGTTGGCTCTGTGTTCGAGCGGCGTGTTGGCGGGGTCAAAGGTCGCGCGTGCCCGCCGAACATCGATTCGATTATCCGTTCCCGTCTCCCGTATTTTCACCATTTTCGGGGATTTCGCGTATATGGTGGTGGCCCGCTAGAAACGCTTCTCTTCCGTTCGCTTGACTGAGTTGACGGAGGAGAGGCTGCAGCCATAGGGGGAGTAAGAGAGAGAGAGAGAGAGAGGGAGGGAGGGGATGGCGGCAAAGGATAAGCAAAAGGATCGGAGGGAGACGGATAAACGAGGAGAGGGAGCGCGGTCGATCCCTACCTCTGCTCACCTATCTTTCCTTCCCTCCGCCAATTTCCCTCCGTAAATTCGATTATCTATAGGTATACTCCTCGACCGTGTCTCCTCCTCCGCCTCGAGTCTGCCAGAGTCCGACGACTCTTCGACAACCTCATCGGCGTCCTTCCGCGAGCCCACCGTGCCGCCTCCACCGTATACACACGCGTGCAGGTCAATCACCGGCCGAAGAAGCAGTAGGTAGTAGAGGGAGGAAGATCGTTTTTGGACCGAGCAGTAGGAGGAGTAGTACTACACGTTCCCCAGGGATGCTACCTTAACACCGAGATTGGATAGGCTGGAAAATATTCGAGATCCCGGCCTAAAGACGTCGCGGATTCTCCAACTTTTTTTCCCCCCACGTTTTTCGGACGATGCTCGAATGATTTTGCGAGGCTAGAGATAAGGGGTGGTGCAAAAGTAAGTTTCCAAGAATAATATTTATCGGAGGGGGGCAACGCAAAGGGAAATGGTCGAATCGCGGCCGCTTAAGGGAACAAAATCAATAGAGGCCGCGACGAAAACTTTATTTTCCAAGCTCGGCTCGGTAAATATTGACGCGGCCGTTCGCGCGCGTTTCAACGCAACGCAAATGTTTCCCTTCGTTTTGCACATCGCTGCGAGCAATCGTCTGAAATGTCGCCACGGGGAGGGAGGGGCGTATTAATAACGCGGTGGTTAATTTTAGGACAGGTTTAAAAACGGGATAGTTCTCCGAGATCGAAGTTGGCTCTGTGTTCGAGCGGCGTGTTGGCGGGGTCAAAGGTCGCGCGTGCCCGCCGAACATCGATTCGATTATCCGTTCCCGTCTCCCGTATTTTCACCATTTTCGGGTAGTTCGTCGTATATGGTGGTGGCCGGCCTAGAACGACTTCTCTCTCTCTCTCTCTCTCTCTCTCTCTCCGTTCGTCCATCCCCTTTATTTAAAGATCCGCCGGTATTAACGATTTCTCTGTGTATCCGATGCACCGCGGAACCGCAGTTTATCCATCCGCTTGTTCGAGCGCGAGCACGTTTTGAAAACGTGCCAGGGAGGGTTCCGCGCGTAGATACGGAAAAGGGGGAGAGAAAAAGCGGAAAAGGAGAAGGAGGAAAGGGAGGAGGGCACAATTCACGGCCGTGTGCGTTGCGTGTGCATTCAGTCTTCCCAATGAAACAGTTGTTATTTTGTGGCCGGCGAGTGCGCCGGAGAGATACACGGTTGGAATGGAAAGGCTCGGTCGGATAGCGAGGCAGCGATATCGTCCGATCCCAGCCTTCTCGCTCCGACGCTATTGCGCTGTTATTTTTCCCTCGCCACCGAGCTGAATCTTGAGCAACGATCGAACGTAATGTAACGTTGTATCGCAGCGAGACGGGTGGATCGGTTGGTTGGTTGGTTGGTTGGCTGGCTGGTTGGTTGGACGGTTGACTGCAACGATGGAACGTTACGATTCATCGAGTCCGGCCAGTCAGTGAAGCGAGCGTACGCTCGAGTCGACAGTGATGTATCCCATTCCGCCGTAGGACGGAATCTTCGTGCCGCTCGTTGCGCTTCCTCTCTTCTTCCCGAGATTATCGACTCTCCCTTTCGCGAGGAGAATCGTCGAAATGGAATCTAATTTAACATCGGTGAAAACCATACGAACGTGGATATTTCTATAAACGAGGGAGGAAAAACTTTGGTGGAAATTTACGTTCGGTGGATTAAATCGGTTGGGATTTGGAACCGGGTTGGCGAAATTCTAGAATTCTAGAATTTCCGATCGTGACGCCGTTTCTTTACGACGCGAGACATCGTGTCCCCCTTTTATCGCGAATCTTTCCGATACTGGGGAGAATCCAGGGTGGATACGATTGTTCTCATGTGGTTGTTCTGCCGCAGGTGGTACTACAATAGGAACCAGAGGGAGGAGCCGGTCGAGGATTCGTCCGGGCATTACGTGGTGCGAGACGGTTCGTTGATCATACAAGGCGTCCAGGAGAGCGACGGTGGATCGTACATGTGCACCGCTAGTAATTCCGAGGGCAGCGAGTCCATGGAAGTGAGGTTAACGGTGTCTGCGCCATTAAACGTGCACGTCCAACCATCGATCCAGACCGTTGATCTCGGGAAAGCCGCTCATTTGGTAATCGACAATTTCCCTTCCCTCCGCGAAAAACGTTCCGCCTTTCCAACACATTTTTTTCTCCCGCCAACCTTTTTTTCCAACCGCGAACGAACAGAAGAAGCCGCGAATATATCTGAATCTCGAGGTTGGTTGGTCTACCGGCAAATTGTTCGCTCGCCATTCGCCGCGATCCACGGGATAATCCGATTTTTAGGAGGAGGCCACGGGTTTCGAGAGGATGCGCGCTTTTTGCGCGCTCGTGGCAATCTCGAAAGGAAAAGGGAAAGGAAAGGGGCGCGAGATCCGAGGACACCGTTCTCATCAAGTCCCTTTTTCTCTAAACTGCTTTTCAGACGTGCAGCGCAAGTGGATTTCCGCAGGCGGCGTTGTACTGGCTGAAGGACGGCCAGCCATTGAGAACGGGCGCTCGCATAAGGGCGGTTTCCAGGGAACGTATTTCCGTGATGTCGGTCGCGAGAGAGGATCGCGGCATGTACCAGTGCTTTGTGAGGAACGAGTATGAAATGGCTCAAGGAATCGCGGAATTGCGGCTGGGCGGTGAGTCTTTGTTTTGCTTGTCCGTTTTTTTTTTTTTTTATATTACGTCGCGCCCACCGTCCGCGCCGCCAACCGAGGAAAATAGGCTGGCCGAGTGAAAGATCGTCCGTTTCGTTTCCGAGGATACATTCGTTTACATTCTCGCGTGCTGACAATCGTCTTTTTCTTCGCTTCTTCGAAATGGGGGAGGGAGGAGATCTCGGCCCATCCGCGTAATATCCATTATACCGTTTAAACGATTTTAAGCAACCCTCGTCTCACCTATCCCTCCCTTCCTCTTTCCCTCGTTGGAACAGAAACAGCTTAACGAACGTTCCGCGAAATGAAACGTTTAAGACGCTACTCCGACGTGCCATCTAATGACATCGCGTCGCACAGTTTTCAATTGCTCCGCTCTAAAGCGCGCTATTAAAACTCGACCGCTCGTTAAATCGCGAAAGCGAGGAATTTGCATTTTATCCTGCGGACACGGTGCGCGGGCTATCCACGGATCGGAAATCTTTCGGGATCGTCTTGGGGGATTCGTCGTTTCCCCTTTCGAAAAATCCGTCCATCCACGGATTGGCCGTGATTCCGGGAATATCTTGGAACATCTCGGTCGGAATAGGTTTGGTTTGAAAGATCGAATTGGAAAGAGAACGAGTCCATAAGGGGTTAGGGAGGAAGGGAAGGAAGGGGGAGGGGGAGGAGAAGGACTTGTTTGTCGAGCGAATGGTTCCGCGGTGATAGGTTGCCGATGGTTAATGCAGTGGAACTCTTCTCCCCACCCCGTACGATCCATCCCGGGTTTGCGTGCCACTCCATCGTAACGCGTTTTCCATCATCCCGGATCCCTTCCCCGGCTTTTCTCCGGCGAAGTACGTGCCATTTTTGCGCGAAAATGGCCACATCGTTTTTCCCGATCGCCACCGGAGACCGATGTTTGCCGCCCGTTAATCGCCGCACCTACCCGCTTCCTATCCTCTCCACGCTTTTAATTATCGAATCTCGATAGTCACGTAGCACCACTGGCTTAATGCTCGATCCACGATCCTTAAGGCGATTTCCATTCCGGATTACTCTTCGTATTTATATATGTGTGTGTGTGTGTGTGTGTGTGTGTGTGTATGTACGTATATACGTATATATATAGGATAGAATACGCGATTCAAAGCTTCGGTCGAGGCAACGTTAAAACGTTAAAGTACTTTTCGCTCGTCGCCCTAAAAAAGAAAAACCTTTTTCTTCTCCTTTTATCCGATGCCGACACGATAAAGTGTGTCAAACGATTGCGATCGACCGTTCGTTCGTCGTCGTGGCCGTCTAGGCTCCTCCGCTTGCGAGATGCTTTGCCGCTGTGAAGCGGCGACATCTCACCTCTCCCCGCCCCTCCGTTTTGTCATTTCGATGTAAAACAGCCGCGAACGAACGCGCAACCGTCTCTTGTTCTTTTTCCTTTTTTTTGTCTTTTTTTTTTTTTCCTCCCCTCCACGCACGATACGTATCGATACCGGTCATATTTCGGTTACGGGCGGGGCCGCGATGCTTTTTCCATTAACCGGGGCATCGAGCCTCCGCGATCGGAGTTACGGGTCCGAAGATTTCAATTAAAACACTTTTACCGCGGCAGATTGCCTTTCGGCCGGCCCCGGGCACGGTTACAGGGAATAAAGTGTCCGTGGAGCGATTTCGCGCCCGGCAAAGCTTCCTCTGCCCGACCGACCGGCATCGAGGCCTCGTTTCAACCCCCATTTTCGCGGCTATCGCTCCAAACCCCCCGCCCCTCGTAACGTATTTCCCATCCTGCCGCGGGCATCACGCGCTATTTTTGCGCGAAAATGGCCTCGTTTGCTGTCCACCGTTCACCATCCCAACGTGCCGCATTAATACACTATCGAGAACCACGCGATACCCGAATATCCCGGGAAACACAATCAAGCCAATTCACGGCGCCTGCGTTTTCCCCCCTTCCCCCTTCTTTTTTTCTTTTCTCTCTCTCTCACTCTTTTTCGTTTTTTTACAACGATACGCGTGGAAACAAACCGCGTTTCGTTTCGTTTCGTCTCGTCTCGAATTTTCGAAGGTAAACGTTTTCATCTCTTGACTTTCGGTCGAACGATTGTTTCTTGTTTCCCGTTGAAAGAACGAGTCAAACGTACCTTTTTTCCCCCTTTTTCTTTTTTCGTTTTTTTTTTTTTTCGTTCGAGAACGACGGTTCGTCCCCGGTTCGCCTCGGAAAGGTTTTCCGGAACGATTTGTATCCGGTGATGAAACTTGCCACGTACTTTCCCCGCCATTAGCCACGCCGGCAACTCGGATGGCCGTTGAAACTTGAAATTTTCTTTCCCACGGGCGAAAGAAACGTGGACGGTGATTGACGTCGGTGGTGGCCGAACGATACAATGGCGCCAGCTTTCTTTCACCCTCGATCCGACAATCAAGCTTGGACGAGGGTATCGAGGAGGGGCGAAACTATTCTTTCTCCCTTCGCAACTGGCGCTCCATCGCGTGGGGGTAATTGAAGAGGCGAACGGGAGTGTGAGGCACTGCTCTTGGTGGCGGCCCGCTATAGAAACAAGAACAGGAGCAAACAACGGTAATGGATTCAACCTTTGAACGGCTCGCTCGCAATTGCATCTGGCCGCAATAACATGCCGCAACCGTCCGGTTACACCGTTAAACGACTTTTCATTATCCTTAAACGTGGCTACGATTTCTCCTTGCTCTTTCTTTTTTCTCTTTTTTTCCCCCCTTTTCACTTCGATCCTCGTAAATAAATTTATGTATCATCGTTGATCGATGATTGAAAAAATTCGAGAATCATCGACGATCGACGACGGAAAAAAAGAAAGAGAGAGAAATATAATTCTCTGAATATAAAATTTCTAGGAAACATTCGAAAATATCGTTTCGATCGATTATCCGGAAATTTGGAAGGAAATTTTTCGGCTGGAATCGAGCGATCAACGAGGCGGCCCTTTTCCGATTTTCCGCTGTAGGAAAATTCGTGGCCATTAGCCCCGGCCGTTAGAATTCTTCTCGGTCGCATGATTTCTAAGCTGCAGGGCGTACAGTGTACATTAGGTGGGGATTGCCCGCAGCACGATGGGATAGTTAGTACCGCCAGCCTGGATTTGCATACGCTAACGAGATTCCTGCGGTTTTGCCGATGCTTTGCATGCCGGCCGAGCACGATCCCGCTCCATCCTGCGCCACTGCCTGCGTCTATTTATTATGCGTCATAGATACGTCAGGGAAGAAGGCACGTCACCCGCAAGAGGGAACGGGATACCCGTGTGGAAAATGGGGTTTGGAGAGCGAGTGGATCGTCGTGTTAGTAGCGTTAGTTGCCGCGAGTAGCAGTCTCGCGAATGTCGCGCGTCCTTCCCTCTATTAAACGTGTCGTTCCACTTTACGGCGAAATTCGCGTATCAGAAACCGCATTTCCGCCAATTGCCTGCCTCTCGATCGTATATCGAGACCAGGTATTTCGCTCCAAATATTTACCGATTATCGTATACGTATTATTGAGCGCGTGATATCTTTTCTTCTTTCTTCTTTTTCTTTTTTCTTTTTTTTTTTTTTTTGTCGGGATTATTGACATCATGAACTATCTATCGAGCGGCGATATGCCTCGAGCCAATTGGATTGGCGAGCGTGTTGGAAACAAAGCGATTAAAACGAAATTCGGTTGGAACTTCGGTGGAAGAGATAAGTTCGGTTCGGAGGAAGGATTGGATCGTGGTAATAAAAAAAGTAAAGAAACGTTGGTCACGTTGGTTGGATAAAAGTAAGTCGGGGAAAAAAGGTGGGCCTTAAACAGGGTCGGGAAACGATGAAATTTTCCCCTCGCAGGGGGAGGGCGAGGAGGGAAATGAAGTTTTTCTCCACGAGGCGCGTCGGCCTCCGCAGATTTTTAATTTAAATTGCAATCACCCCCCCTCCCGGCTAAGAGGAACGCTCACGAGTACTGGTTATATTTGACGACAGCCCCGGCTATTATTTACACGGCGATTCTCGTTTTCTTTCCAGGCGAACGATAAACAAGCGGTCTACCCTGTTAACGTTTCATTAACATCAACCTCGTTCGCTGAACCGCCGCTTTTCCTGCGCGAGAGTGTCTTATATTATTATATACGGGGCGGGGACCGGTTGGTCGGTGGTCGGATTAAACTCTTAAACTCTGTGGAACGAGATTTCAGAAATATTTCGTGCAATTTTTTTTTCTTTTTCTTTTCTTTTTTTTTTTTTTTTTTCCCCTTCGAAAAAATCGCTCGACAATGAGTTCGAAATTCATCCGTTGACCGTTTGAAAATGGAAGAAGCGGGAAAAAAGGAAAAAAGAAAATAGATGAACGAGATAGTAGAGGATTGCCCGTGATTTTTCTCTCTTTCGTCTCCGAGAGAACCACCGAGCCACCTTGGTAAACAGGCGACCTCGAAACAGGACGCTTTTAAAGATTATTCCTCGCCCTCCAAGGACGCAAAGTTGCACCGGGCTTCGAAGGCGAAATAACGAGGCGGACTAATTGGACAGACGTAATTGTTAATTTACTAATAGCTTCCTAGGTCCGGCAGTCTTTTAATTATACGTTCTCGCCGTTCTCGCACCGCCGTGATTTTCATTACGAAGTTTCTACGCCGTGCCGGCACGAGAAACGAGATCATCGCTCCCTACGAACGATGCTCCGTGAAATATCTGTAACGCGATTCTTTTCGATTTCGTTTCGAATAATTATCCCACGCGAATCTTTTCCACTCGAAATTGAAATTGCTCTCAAGGAGGATCTTTCCCACTCTTTCTACCACCTTCGTTCGAAGGTACGCAGCAATTATCCTCAAAGAATAAATCTTATTATGCGGGAAATCGCAATTTCAAACGCAAAGTTTGAGGAAAAAAAGAAAAAGAAGAAGAAAGAAAAATATCGAGACGAGAAGCAACCGCAAAATTCCCACTCGATGTTTTCCTCGCGACACCTCGTACAGCATCAAAGTTGATGGTACATGGCGTGCAAGAGAATCAAGGTATGCATACGAAAAGTTGT